GGGGCTCCCGGCCCAGCAGGTGAGTGGGGGGCCCGGCTGCAGGCCCCGCCGCCCGCCGGCCTCACGCCGGGAACCCCCGCTTGCGAGTCGTGTCCATTCGTGGCCAGAAACAAAGGGAAGGGCTGGGAGACGGTACTTTTGAGGGGCTCATGGAGCTTGGGGATCTGCACACACTGCGGCCGCCCCCCGGTTTCTTGGGGATGGTGCGGGAGCCCGCCGCGCGTGCCCGCTGCCCCCCGCGCCCCAGGTCTCAGGCCCTTGTCCCCCTGCAGGGGAAGGGGACACGGGGGGCGTGGGGGCCCGGGGGGCCCGCGAGGCCCACGCGAGGCCGGGAGAGGACAGTTTGCTTCCTTTGCCGGATTGGGTGGAAGGGCAATTCCCGGGCCGTGGCCACGCGCAGCGTGAACTCGGGGGGCGGGGCGCGGCGGCTCGCTGCAGACTGTGAACTTTCTTGGTTTGAGAGTCCTTTCTTTTTGAATTGGATAGAAGTTTGTTTTCTGTTCAGCCATGTCAATGTGCTAGAAACCTTTTTACTTAATATAGACCAACATTGTTTCTTGGCAAAACCTGTTCTGAAAATGGTATCCTTCTCCCTCTTTGCCATGACTGAGCTCTTGCAAGAAAACTCAGTCCCAAGTCTTTAATAAAGGTGGATCTTCACTTCCATTTTAAGCTAAATCTTTTTTTTTTTTTTTTTTAACCCACTTCTGAAGTAGGTTAAACCATATGAAATTGCCAGTTTCGTAGGTCAAAATTGGTAGAATATTAGCAGTTCTGTATGGTCCAACGTATTTTCTTTGCTTAGAAACTTGGCAAAACCTTTGCTTAGAAACCTCCTATCTTTTCTAGAATGTTAAAAACCTCAGCAGATACAGAATTGTTAGGAAGTCTTCAATAGTACCAAGAAAAATAAAGCAAAACGTTAAGAATCGTTATGCAAAAAAGTCCAGTGCCTTTGTCAGTAATCTATGCTGTTTTATGCCAGCATTTTCAAATATTTCAGACATTTTAATATAAAATATTTCTTTCCTGTCCTATCCTGTTATGTACGTTGTCATGATTGTTAGCAGAAAACTTGATTTTTCCTGAGTTGGCCATTTAGAGAGGTTCTTGCGCTTACCATGTAGGTGTTGGTGTAGTCGTTAAGAGGACATGTATTGAGCTGTGTGCAGCAGTAATATTTAGGTGTGACATAAAGTAGACAAGAGGATAAGGTCATGAAAGAAGTTTAGCTACATGAAATGGAAATAAATATTTAAATATACATATGAGCTAGGTTATTTACATGTGGGAAGGTACTACACTTAATGATTTCTTAAATTAAAACCATTGCATTGTAGAATTCCTTATGTGGAGATCTGGGAGAAAAACTGCAAAGTAGTAATAGGTTTCAACCTGATAGGAACATATAGGGTCAATAAGAAAATTTTATACTTGACTGCCACTGAGTTTTTATTTGGTGTGTTTCACTTGATATTAATGAACTTGCCATCTAATAGGGAGGAATAGGACCAAAGATTTTGGTCTCTAGTGAAACACCTCTACTCAAACCTTGGAGTCATCTGTGACTACTCACAGCATAGAACAGCGATTTTCAATCTTTTTCATCTCATGGTACATGTAAACTAATTCCTAAAATTCTGCGGCACGCCAAAATAGATTTTTTGCCAATCTGACCAAAAAAAAGGTACAGTTTTGATTCATTCACACCAGATGGCTATTGTTGCATTGGTTGTTGTCATTTCTTTCTTTCTTTGACAATCTAAGGGAAAGAGGCCAACGCTCCTATACTAAATAGTCAGGTTTGCATGTTCTAAAAATTCTTGAGGCACACTGGTTGAAAATCGCTGGCATAGGGTATCGATTTGCTGAGTCAGATTAAGGTAAAAACCTAGTCTGCTTGTTGTGAAACCTTGACTAAGTTACCTGTCTTTTCTAAGTCTCAGTTGCCACAGTTGTGGAATGGGTAATTTGCCAGTCCCAGAAAGTTGTTGGAAGGTGAGAACCTCTTTAAAGTACGTAGCATAGTATCTCGCGCTCAGGCTGTGTTTAAGAGATGACTCTTTTTATGATTATCATTTATCCTATTTGAGCAGTTGGGGCAGTCACCTACCTTTTCTTACAAATGTTTAAGCTTATAAAACCTTAATAAAAACAAAATTTGAGAAGTAATACAATCATTGCAGAAAAATAAATTATACAGAAACATGAATTTAAGAATTCTTTCTCCAATTGAATGATAACTACTTACAGGTTCCAGGTTTTATTTTGTATATAAACAATTCTTAAAATACAGGCACTTTCTTTTAGAAGAATGTATATTGTATATACTCTTCTGCAGTCTTTTTCTTCATGGTCTCTTAGCTAAAGTGGTTTACCTATATCCATTAGGTTGCTAATAGTTTCTACGTGGATTAGTACAGTTGTCTTACCAGCAGCCCAACTTCATTTTTTTTTTTTTTTAGTCAGTACTTTATTCCAACACTAAGGCCATTTTCTTTGCACTTCCTTTGTGCCACGCTAGCTTTTAAATTCTAGTATGTCTCTGTTTTCTGCATAATCTAGATTTTCACTTATAAGTCATCTCTCTATTTCATATTTAGCCTTACCTTGTCCATTTATTTTTATCAGCCTTACTTTAAATACCTACAAGAGCAGGACAGTTTCATAGGCTTCTGTTTGACTTGATTGCAAGCAAGTCCTTATTTAGAAACCTGAAGAAGAAATAGCAAAAGGATGCTCCCTACCCCTATTCTCTTTTCTTCCTGGAGACTTGCGTTCAGACAAGGGAGGCATGGATGCAGGGAAACATGCTTCTGTCCCGGGTCCTGATTAGCCTTGATTCTGTCATTGTGGTCCGGGAAGCCGTGGTGGTGTTTTTAGCTCCTTGCTCTTCCTCTTTGAAATCAGGAAGCATCACCATTGAATGCTTTTTTTTTTTTTTTTTTAATATATCTTTATTGATTTCAGAGAGAGAGGAAGGGAGAGGGGGAGAGAGAGAGATAGAAACATCAATGATGAGAGAGTCATTGATCGAGCCCGCAACCCGGGCATGTGCCCTGACCGGGAATGGAACCCCGATCGCCTGGATCCTAGGTCGATGCTCAACCGCTGAGCCACGCCCGGCTGGGCACCATTGAATGCTTAATGGGTGCCCTCATTCCATGATCATTGTTTTCATTGTGGATAGCACTAGACATCAGCTCTTACCCCAGGAGCACTTTGCACCCCTTATTAACTAAAGGCAGGTCCTTCAGCTCCATAGAGTCTCTCTTGGCTAGAGTAGTTAGGTTGACCAGAGAGGTATAGATGGGAATGAAAGAAGTTGCGTGGAGAACAAGCTGCCTAATACAGTAGCCCTCCCAGATCCACATCCAGTCTCCTAGAGCAGGGTGGGTAGAGTCACAGTTTACTAAGTACGTTAATTTGGCTGATTTTGGGATCAGCAAATTATTTCTGAAAAAGGACAGTCGTAAATATTTTCAGCTTCGTGGGCCGATGGTCTGTTGAAATTACTCACTCTGCCATTATAGCTCAAAAGCCATAGACCTGACAAATGAGCTCTAATACAACTTTCCAAAAACAGGCAGCCACTGGGCTCTCGTTTGCTGACCCCTGCTCTAACGATGGAACTCTAATATTAATATTTGCTAGATATATTTCATTTTCTTAATATTTAATCTTACAAATAAGAATTTTTTAAAAAACCACCTGGCTTTCCTTTTTCCTCCACTATTTCCCAAGTCTATAATTTTATAAAGTCTTTATCAATAAGTGATCAAGGGAAGACAGTCTTCATTTACAAGATGGGAACCCTGGAAGCCTGAAGGGATTCTTTAGTGTGGCTGTGGCCATCTACTGGTTCCTTAAGGTTGTTGCAACTTTCCATAGTGCTGTGGAATTTCAGGTAGTCTAGCAGTCCTTCTCTATCCTGGCTCTATACTGAGTCACTTAGAGGAAACTGGGGGGGAAATGAGCAGGCTCCACCTTCAGAAATCCTAATTGTTTTGGAGTAGGTCATAAGCTCAGGTCCTTTTTATAAGGCTTTCCTCTCTGGCTGAGATAAGTTTAATGTGCAGCCAGCTTTAAGAACTTCTGTGCCAGTTCAACTGGCTGCCTCACTGTAGCATTTAAAAAGCAAAATTGAATGTAATGGCACCAGATGGCATTTGTTTATATTTGAGTTTGGGGCTGAAGCTGTTCATCCCAGCTTCAAGTTGCTCCCTATGTGCACTCTCCAGTACCAACCAGCCTGCCAGAGTTTATTTCTATAGACATATGGGTCACATGGATAGTCCTTATAATTAATTACTGATCGCATTAAAGAATTTACTTGGAGCTGGTAAGTCAGAAAAAGATATGGAGTTGTTGAAGTTCAGTTATGTGTAAAGAAGGAAAACCAGCAAGTGACTGCATTTATATAGTACACCAGTTTTGAGTTATACTATAACAGATTTTTATGTGGTGATTACATGATGTAATTACAGAAGTAATTAAACTCATCTGTTTTCTGCATGTGACTAGTGTATTTGACTGATTTGAGGAGTCATCTACTTCAGCATCTCTTTGGGTAATCTTCATAGACTATTGTTCTCCTAACTTCCAGCTTTTCTTTTTTAAAGATTTGTCTTTTTAACATCTGGAACTTAATGTTATTAGATTCCATTCACTCTTTTAAATTTAGAGTTTGATCCAATAAATTATAGCATTCATTTTTTATCACATAAGCCAGGATGGTCAATTTAATTTTAAAATAGACATACTGGGGCATTATTACATGTTTGTAGTATAGTAAAGTATCTGATGATTTATAATTTTTAAAAAGCCACTGTAAACTAAATCAGAACAGTACATTTCAGTTTACAGAATTTTAATATTACATATGAAACTAGTATATAGAGTCAGGCCATTACAAGATCATTGTATGGAATAAAAACTTACAGAACTAAAATGATTCAGTAGTTTTATACTTTAAATCTCTGACATTTTCTAAGCACAGTGCTTTCACTCTGTTGCTTCTGAGATTTTTACATTGCTCACCATGACAAGTATCCTGTTACCTTCCTGATGCTAAATCTTAGTTTTTTTATTCAGCATTTGCTGTTTTAGAAAGTTTTTCTTTGGTTAATTCAGTGTCATCAGCCACATCTTACCATCCCACAATCCAACTTATATAAGATGTACATGTGCTGTATTGTTCACATTAGTTGTTATATTATTGTATTAGTTTCCTGAGGCTACCATAATAAATTACCAGAATTGGGTGGCCTAACACAACAGATGTATTCTCTCATAGTTCCCGAGGCCAGAATTCTGAAATCAAGGTATCGGCAGGGCCATGCTTCCACTGAAAGCCCTAAGGGAGAATCCTTCCTTGCCTTTTCCAGCCTCTGGTGGTTGCTGGCAATCCTTGGTGATCCTTGGCATAGTCTTATCACTCCAGTCTCTGCCTTCATCTAAACGTGGAATTCTCTTTGTATGTCTTTCTATGTCTTCAGTGCCATTCCTATAAGGGCACCAGTCATTGAATTATAGGGTCCACGCTAATTCATTATGACCTCATAATGAATTACATCTAATTCATCTAATTACATCTGTAAAACTCACTAGACAAAGAAGGTCACATTCTGAGGTTCTGGGAGAACAGGAATATTTGTGAGACACTATTCAACCTTGTACAGTTATGGTAAGAATATGTAATGTTTCTCACTTTTGTTTCTGTTTTCTTTATCCAATAGATTGTAAAGACTTCCTAATAAAGCAAGACATTAAGGTTTTGCAAGGAGCTTTTTAAAATAACTAGTTTTTTGCCCTAGCTGGGTAGTTTAGTTGGTTAGAGCATTGTCCCCATATACCAAGGTTGCAGGTTCGACCCCCAGTCAGGGCACATACAAGAATCAATCAGTGAATGCATAAATAAGTGGTACAACAAATCAACATTTTTCTCTCTCTCTCTCCCTCTCCCCCTTGCTCTGGCTCCAAAATCAATCAATAAATAAAAATAAAATAGCTATATTTTTATACTATCATACAATAAAACTTTGTTACTTTCTCAATATGGTATAAGATTATAATGATATCTAGTATATTTTCCTTCTGTTAGGGGTAAAAAGAAATGTTATAATTTGGATTTTTGCTATCTTTAAAAAGGCTTTTCTCTCTCTCTTTTTTTTTTTTTTAGGACTGCAGCATTCAAGAAAAAATAGATTTAGAAATTCGAATGCGCCAAGGAATATGGAAACTCCTTTCTCTGAGCACTCAGAAAGACCAGATTTTACATGCAGTAAAGAATCTCATGGTGTGCAATGCTCGAATAATGGCTTACACATCAGAGCTACAGAAATTAGAGGAGCAGAGTGCAAATCAAAGTGGAAGATGGTTAGTAGCATAGTTTATATGTGGCCCCTAACGTACTTAAACATTTGAACTAAAAACATGATATAATTTAACCTTAAGGTCAACTGTCAAATCACTAAAGCCTTTAAAAAATAAGTATACAGTGGTCCTGTCCGGGTGGCTCAGTTGGTTGAAGCATTGTCCTGTACATCAAAAGGTTTCCAGTTTGATTCCCGGTCAGGGCACATACCTGGTGGGTTGCAGGCTCGATCCCTGGTTGGGGTGGGTACAGGACACAATGATAGATGTTTCTCATTCACATCGATATTTCTCCTCCCTCCTTTCCTCTCTCTAAAATCAATTAAACAAAACATTCTCAGGTGATAATTAAAAAAAAAATAAGTACACTGAAGTAACCTCTGAATTCATAAACATTTTGACAGTAGAGCTCAGAGTAAACTTACTATTAAGGCATCAGTTTTCACTGGGCTGTTCTCTTGTGTTCAGTACTTCCAGATTGTAAAGTTAAGTGGTTAAAAAGCAAGAATTGACAGAATATATTAAGAAGGATCAAGACTGATAGTTGAGTATAAAGAAATGTAAATAAAAGGAAAAACCAATTGCTTAAAAATATGCTAATGAAGAAGGTACTAGCTAAGAGTAATGTAAACTTAGGTGTATAAGTTGAAATGTGTGTACAGCAAAATTTAAAAGATATAAAACCTTATAAGTGAAAGGGAATTTAAAAATATGCTAGCACATCCTCTTCATTTGGTGAATATGTCTTAGAGAGGCAAGTAACTTACTCAAGGACATATAACTAGCTAGTGGCAGAACCTAATGAGAGGTTACTTAGGACTGGCTAAGTAACTTCTGTCTCTTTGTGCTACCCTTTTGGATCAGGTCTAGGATTTGTGTATAGAATTTACATCACATCCTATTTGCATTGCCAAGTCTTATTTTTACCTAAGAATTGACTCAATTTGATGGCTAGATGTTGATTTCTTTTTTCATATAAATAGTCTTACATCACTCATAGTTCATCAGTCTTGAAGCTGGAGCACTGGTAAAATTTCTTTTTAGACATTAGTGGCCTTTGGACTGTTCACAGTGCCATTAACTTTTTGAAAAGTAAGGTAAAAACACAGGTCAGAGAAAGAAGTTTCTGTAAAAATAAAATGTTGATGGGATTGTGATACAGTAAAGGTTTGTATATAAAATAGCTAATATTTGTTAGCTGTATTTCCTAGGGATAGCTATTTAATCTCTTTGTGCCTTATTTTGTTCATTACAGTTGGCATGGTACTATTTACATTTGAAAGTTAAGATTATATATAAGAAACCTATTGTAATACCTTGTATGTAATTAGTACTCAACAAATGTCAAATAATTTTTATTATTATTTATCCCTGGCATTAAAAAATGAAATTATCCCAGTATCATAATCTTAGAAAATTTTCAAATAGAAATACATTGGTTTAAGTCAGTGCTTCTTAAACTAGGTCACACGTATCACTGAGAGTATAGGATTATCTGTCAGGAGATATGCTAGGTTGTAGAATAAATATGGCATGTCTTATAGCAGGAATTTTTAAGATAAAGCATGAGAAATTTAGAATTGTGGCATAGTTTGGGGTTATTCTACTTAGGGGGATATATGTTCCTTCTCCCAGCTTTTATAAGGGTATTTTATCAAGGGGGGCTATTTCAATGGAAAAATTTAAGAAGTACTGGTTTAAGTACAGTGTGGGATTAAAATTACATCATCTCTCATAGTTATATGGAATATACTTGTAGGAATCATATCTGCCCTCCATATTTATGTTCTTTAAATATTTACAGTAGCCTTGGTTGGTGTGGCTCATTTGGTTGACTGTGTACTGTCCTTTACCAAAGGGCCACCAGTTTGATCCCCGTTCAGGGCACTTGCCAGGGTTGCGGGCTCAATCCCACGTGGGGGTGGGTGCGGAAGGTGATCAATTTGGCAGCTGATCACTGGCTCTCTCTCTCTCTGCCCTCTCCCTTTCTCTCTCTCCAGAAATGTAGCAGCAGCTTCTTCATTGGCAAACACAGCCCCTTCAGTAATTTTTATATTTTTTAGTCCAAAACTGTTCCTGAATCTATATAACCACCCCTTATTTGCAGTGAATGTTTTTGTGTCACTCGTTTCAGGGGATCCCTTGCTGAAGTGCTTGCATAGGCTCAGTGCTATCTGGCATTAAAAATTGCGGTCAGTTGGGACATGTTTTCTGTTCAGTTCTTCTACCCACAAATCGAATGCCTTGTCCATCTTAACTAAGCTCTTCCCATGTACTTTATTGTTGCTGTAACTTTTGCAATTTGAGATGCGACGGCAAAACTAGCACAAATTTCCTTTTCCTTCTTCACAATTTCATGGATAGATTTATTCTTACCACAGATCTTGGTAACCTCCGCATACAATTTTTTTTCTTGCTTTTTAAGTTGAGAACTTTCACCTATTCACTAAAAGGAAGCATTTTACGGCTTCTCTTTGGCATATCCAAATTTCCAGGTCATTACTCTTATGCTTTGGGACCATTAAGTAAAAGTTACTTGAAGACAAGCACTGTGGTACCATGACAGTTGATTTGATAGTGGAGATGGGCCCTAAATGACTAGTGGACAGGTAATGTATACAGTGTGGATATGCTGGACCAGGGACGATTGATATCCCAGGTGGGACAGAGCGGGAGGGTGTCAGATTTCATCACGCTACTTATAAGTGTATGCAGTTTAAAACTTATAAATTGTTTATTCTGGAATTTTTCATTTAATATTTTTGGACTGCAGTTGACCGTGGGTAACTAAAACAGAAAAGGAAACTGCAGATAAAGGGAAAGTACTGTCAAAGGAATTGTGGGTTGGCTCTTTTCTTAATTTGCCTGTATGACTTTTCTGAAGTTGCTGATTTATAAATATGTTAAATAAGTTGAGCCCCTGTTGGACTTATATAACAAGGATAGAAAAAATATCTTGGACTCTCTGCTGAAGGATGTGTATGATTGTCAGTTTCTTTACTGATTCCTTTGATAGATAAAAATAGCTTTGATGCTATACACATTTATATTTTTCATCATTCATATAAAAAGCCTCCCTTAATTATTGAATTATTTCTATATTTTGGAAAATCCGAGTATTCTGTATTAATTCTTTTGTTTATAACTTCATTTTGTTATGTGCAGATATAACCTGAGCTCACTGATCAAATATAATTGGAAAGTATAGTTCTTGCTTTCTTATTACATAAAAATGATCTAAAGATTAATGAGAGTCTACTGTTCCTTGAAGATTATGTAAATTATGCCATTTGATTAGTCAGTCAAATATTTACCAAATAGCTACCACTTGTAGAACACTTACTAAGCACTGTGCTAGTATATCCAAATTCAAAAAACAGGATTTGTCAAAATATGAGAATATATGAATATTCAACAGTCAAATATTTTTCCTTTAAAGACTTAGCAGTCTGTTCCTTAAGTTGGTTTAAATAGTCTTTAAGGTAGAAAAATGCTGTTTTTACATTACTTCCAGACTTAAAATCGCATTTTAATGAGTCTACTAACACTAGTCTACTCTAACATTGTATGATAAAACATTGAAAAAAAATACAGAATACGTCTAGACTTTTTTGTTGTTATTGTTAATCCTTACACAAGGATATTGATATTTTTTCCATTGATTTTTTTAGAGACAGTGGAAGGGAGGAAGGGAGGGAGAGAGAGGGGAACAGAAGGAAGCCCGTGCACTTCATACTACTCCAGACCGCCCTAGTGAATTTCTACAGCACTTTACAGTTATTTCATTGTTTACCCTGTATTACTTTATTTTCTGCAGAGACTTCATAAAATGGATATTTGAGAAGGGTATCTTGCAGTAGAGTATTGAAAAGGATGGTTGAAATAATTGAAAATAATTGAAATAAAGAATTTTTTGGAAAAATATTTAAGGATAGGCACACAGAGGAGTGATCAAATAGTACCTTGATGAGCAAAACCAGGAGATCAAAACTAGCGTGTGAGTTTTGGGTTTTTCTAATAGATTTTGTTATCTCAATTTATTAAAGTAAGCAAATACTTTTACACCCTTTTTAAATCAGGGTTTTAGGAAAAAATTAAACCTTAATGCCCCAAGTCATGGGTGTATACAGTGACTTAACTTCTGTGCGCCTAGAATAGTGCTAGTTTTGTACCATTCTTGGGAAAACTGAGAAAATAGTCATTTTTTTGTTTAGATGAGGACCCCCCCCCTCAAATTGAGAAGTCAGTTATATAGTTATATCATTTGTGTTTTGTTGTTTTTTTTAAGAACGACATATCTGAGAATATCAGTAACTGGTCAAATGTCCTATTACCATAATGTTGTAATTATATAACAAAAGCTTTATGTTCTCATAAATTGTGTATAGTTATAAAACACTTTCTAGTATACTACCTAAATATGCAAAAGATACCCAGGTTTGTGTACAACCCATATTCAAGCTATGTAGAAAAAGTGGGATACGGAAAGCTTTCTAGGTTGAGTAAACAGTAGATCGTTAAGGTGAAGGGTTTACTGCCTCAGTTTACTGCCTCAGTTTAGGTGACAAGATTGCTTAGTACAGCAGTCTGCCAATTTGCTAGTCTTTTGACTGGTAAACTAGACTATCCCTACCATTCCCCTGCTGGTTATAGCCAGATATATCTACTTACAAGACTGTTTCTATCAGTCCTCCTCTTTAAAAAGCAGCTAATGGTTTCCATTTGCTAAAATTCCTTAGATCAGCATTGCATTCCATTCCAGGATCTTTGTGTTCTGATTTCAAACTACTTTCATAGTCTTATCTCTCAAATTTCTGCTTAACAAATTTATTTCAGCCAAATGCAAGATTCCTATCCCAAAACAGTCTTTGAATTTTCTTGTCTCCAGCACCTTTGCTTATACCGACGGGCCCTGTCTTTCATTTCCACTTAACAAGGCCTCTTTTGTTTGGCATCATTAGTTTCCTTGGTGATTCTATTCAGAAAGTGATCATTTCTTATTT